CTTGACCACCTCTGTTTGGCCTTCTGCTACCTGCAATGAGATGACTAAATGGAAAACGACAAAAAGGAGGCCTACAGTGAACAGTAGGGATTTGTAGAATATAAAAGTCAATGGCCCCCAAATTCTAGACATGATACTCACCTCACACTTTTCTCTGATTCTTCTGGGACCCAGATTACAACCATATTGCTAACATCTTCAGAGCAGGGAAGCGGTGTGTCATTCAAATTCAACACTGAAAGCTAAGAAGAAGATATAAAGCCCATGCATGGCTTGAGGTATGAGGCTTCATAGACAAAGTGCTGAATTATCATGCTAACCAAAGGGTTTGGTGGCTCAGAAAATTAAAAAAAAAGACATTTCCTATCCCCCAAACAGCTTCATAATATTAAAAAAAAAAAAAACCAGACTACATCATCAGATATCAGTATAGGTATTCTGAAAGAGGGAGCAATTATAAGCAAATAACCCTGCTTTCTTGTGACACTAGCGTTGCATTTTACCTTGGGGCTAACCAAGATGAACACCACTCACCCTGCTCACAACACTCCAAAGACTTAGATCCCTATAAATAATGTAATAAGAAGTTTGGAGTAGGGAGGAAATTATTAGAGGGAGAGGCAAGTTCTCTACTTTTATAGCCCATTTCAATTATAGGCAACTACACAAAAGTTAAAGTGCTAACTCGTCTCACAGTTAGCAATTTAGGATCCCAGAATACTGCTTCTCAAGGAAACCTTGTAAATCATCTCATCCATATTCCTGCTAGGATACACACACACAAAAAAATCCTTAAAAATGAGGTTGCCCCTGTGAAAAGAAATTGATTGGCAGAGAACAAGAGAGACTCCTTTTCATTGTAAACAATTTTTTGCCTTTTGAATTCAGAATCATGTTCATGTTTTATCTATTCAAATAATTAATTTAATCTAATCCTTTTGTTCTAAAGAGGTCAAAGAGGAAAAGTGATTTGTTTGTTTATACCATTCAAATCTCTCTCTCTTAATTCCTTACACTTTCCACATGATACTGAAAGTGAAGCATCTCGCGGAAAAAAAAAAAAAAAGCATCCCGTATGACTGAAAAGAACAGTAAATCTGTCTTTACTGTAGAAGCGCAGGGTTTTTCTTCCAAAAGTTCTAATTTAGCCTTTAGCAAATCACTTCCTATGGGTCTCAGTGCTCAGTCTTCTCAACTGTAAGACACATGAGATAGACCATGGTAACATTCTCCAAACTGCAGTTGCAACTTACTGTCAGGTCATAAAATCAAATGTTGTTGAGTTACAGCCCACATTGTTTAAAAATGAAATAGAATAAAACAGAATAGGATTACACTCCTGTAATCCTAGCACTTTAGGAGGCCATGCCAGGAGGATTGATTGAGACCAGGAGTTTAAGACTAGCCTGAACAAGAGCAAAACTCTGTTTTTATAAAAAACAGAAAAGTTATCAAGGCATAGTGACATATGCCTGTCCCAGCTGCTCAGGAGACTGAGGCAGGAGGATCGCTTGAGCTTAGGAATTTAAAGTTGCAATGAGCTATGACAATACTTCTGCACTCTAGTCTGGGCAACAGAGTAAGATCCTGTCTTAAAAATCAAAAACAAGACAAAAACAAAAAGAATAGGACAGAAAATACCAGCATAAAAGAAAAAAATTTAAAAAGAAAAAGAAAAAAGAAGAAAATATCAGAGTACATCACCCACAGTTAAGGTAAGGATTGTTCCATGATATTTTTGTTGTAAAATCTCTTTCTCACCATGGATTATAGCTTTACAAGTTTGAAAGTTATCAGGCTAGAAGACAGTAAGTACCATTTTAGGCCTGACATTCTGATTTCCTAATTATGCAATGACAATGTTTACCTAGTAGCTGAACATGCTCCCTGCAGGAGAAAGAAAATTCTCACCTGCACTAAACCTCTCTACAAATCAATCCCACCAGTGTCTGGGATTTCTAAAAACAATACAGCATGCAAAGCCATTAGCACAGACTCCTGCATATAAGGGCCCACAAGATAATCAACGTTATTATTCAGATTATAGTCATCCTGAGGAATGTTAAGTAAAGAGAAAATATTGAGAAAGTATCTCTTTAAGTAAGCCTGTGACTTACTTTGGAAGGTTTATTAGTACTGTTGATCCAACTTTTGACAGGCAAACCTTTCTGAGGCCTAAAAAATGAGAGTTTCAAACATAAAACAGATACCAAAGACTTATCAGAATGATACAGTTAGCTCTGTGAGGAAAAACCTACTTATCTACAGAAAACCTTGGGCTTAATTCCTAACCAAAGGAATATAGGGTTCCCCCATATCCTTAAGTTATGTGTGTTTGTTTTTCCTGGAACAGCTCCTAAACAGGTACTGTACATGCAAATAATTCACAACTATTTGTTACATCAAACTGAATTCCTATCCTACACCTCCCTCTACAGCTAGAGAAATTATCTCACTATCAATAAACGTATTATGTACCTTTGACATAAATGCTCAAAAGATGTTACGTAAACAATGTAGCATACATACATAAAAGAAAATTATTCAGCTTTAAAAAGTAATGAAATTCTACCTGGTTTCTTGTACACTCAATGAATCCCCAACAATAAAAAAGAAATGCTGGACACTCTCTGATGGTGTATGTTTTAGGTCCTCAAGAAAAAAAAAAGTAATGAAATTCTGATACTATTCCCAGTTATCTGTGGTTTCAGTTACCAATAGTCAACCACAGTCCAAACATAGGTGAATACCTATAAGTAGGATATTTTAAGATATTTTGAGAGACCACATTCATATAACTGTTATTACAGTATAATGTCATCATTGTTCCTATTGTTTCTAATCTCTTCTTCTGCCTAATTTACAAATTAAACTTTATTATAGGTATGCATAGGAAAAAGCATAATATATATAAGGTTCAGCATCCTGAACCTTATGGTTTCAAGGATCTACTTGGGAGTCTTGGAATATATCCCCTGCAGATAAGGGGGGACTAATGTTCATGCTGAAACATAGATGAACTTTATATTAAGTGGCATAAGCCAGACCCAAAAGAACAAATATTGTTTGATTCTACTTATATAAGGTCCCTAGAATAGGCACATTCATAGACACAGAAAATAGAACAGAGACGGGGAGTTACTGTTAAATGGATACAGTTTCTGTTTGAGAGAATGGAAAAGTTCTAGAAATGGGCTTTTTCCATTTCTAAATATGGTATATGCTACACATAGTGATCACGGCTGTACATTGAATATACTTAATGCCAATGAATACTAGACTTAAAAATGACTAAAATGGTCAATTTTTGTTATGTATATTTACCACAATAGGAAAAACCATCCCCTTATATTTTCCTATCACCTGCTATTTTATTTTTTAAAAATGTATTACAGGGCGGCGCCTGTGGCTCAAAGGAGCAGGGCACTGGCCCCATATGCGGGAGGTGGTGGGTTCAAACCTCACCCCAGCCAAAAACTGCAAAAAAATAAAAAGAATTAGCATCTGATCCTTAGGACGATGAGAAACCATGAAAAAAAAATTTTTTTAAAACATATTACATATGTGAATGATGAATAATACAAAGAGGTACCAGATAAAGACCTCCCTCTCAGCCTGATTTATGAAGTCCTGCATAAAGTAGGCCCCTTTCTCTTTTTTTTATTTCAAAATTTTAGGGGGTATAAATGTTTTTTGTTCATGGATGAACTGTATCATGCTGACATCAGGCCTTTCAGTGTAACCATCCCCACCTGCTTTCTATTTCTACTCCAACTCCCCAGTCTCATCTCTGACCATTCTTCCATACCTGCTCTAAGCTCCAGACACAATGAACTGTTTTCCTCTTGCCTCCAGGCCTTTGCATATGCTATTCCTCTAGTTTAGAATTCTCTTCCTGCTTACCTCCCACCTGCAACTCCCACTTCACCAGAATGCTCAGACTTCAGGTCTAGGCACAGATGCCACTTGTACAGAGGACAGAATACTGGGTTAGGAGCCCTTTCCGGTGCTTCCACACACCCAGGGGGCATTTGCTTTCATAACACTCATCACACAGGGTAGTCCCTGCTTGCTTACTTCTTTGCCTCCCCAACTAAGCTAAGGGCTCCTTAACGGTAAAGACTGTCCAACACAGTGACCCCCAACTAAAATAATGTTTGTGATTTGAATGATGTTATGGCCCCTGCCTTCAAATGACCTAAAATCCAGTTGGGCAAACAGGACATAGGCACAAAAATATCAGTAGGCATGCCAGGGACAATAAGTGCTGGGCTAGTCTGGAAAAGAGACCACCCAGGGATAGTAGTAAATAAGGAAACTCAACCTTAACAGAGAACAAGGACATTGATCAAATACTTATTAAGCTTCCACTACATGCCATGCATTAGGGAATAAGGAGATAGAATAGTGAATAAAACAAACACAGCCCCTTCTCTGGTAGTACTGATATTCTAATGAGAGGAGAAAAACAAATCAATAAAAATCACTACAAATTAGAAGAAAGGAAGAAACAAGATACAAGGTCAAATGATGATTAGGGCAGGCCCGGTGCAGTTGCTCACATCTGTAATCCTAGCATTCAGGGATGCCAAGGTGAGAGGATCACTTGAGGTTAGGAGTTTGAGACCAGTCTGAGAAAGAGCAAGTCTCTACAAAGAAGCAGAAAAATTAGGCAGGCATGTTGGCAAATGTAGTCCCAGCTACTTAGGAGGCTGAGGCAGGAGGATCCCTTGAGCCCAAGAATCTGATACAGCTGTACCTTTCATTGTACTCTAGTCTGGGCAACAGAGTGAGACTTGGAAGGAGGGAGGGGAAAGGAAAGAAAAGAAAGAAAACAAAGGAAAGGAAAGGAGAGGAGAGGAGAGGAGAGGGCATGTGTGGAATGTGTGGACAGAGTTTCATGATGACCTAAAGAAGCTGGTAAGATAGGCTGAATTGTGTCACCCTAAAATTCACGGGGTGATGTCTTAACCCCCAGTTCTTCAGAATTTGAGTGTATTTGGAAATAAGGTCCTTAAAAAGGTAATATTTATAAATAAGGTCTTTAAAAATGAGGTGATATGGGTGGGCCCTAACCCAATACAACTGGTATATGTATAGATGAGGAAATTAGGACACAAAAAAGAAGGAAGACCATGTTAAGACATAAGGGCAAAATGGCCATCCCCAAGCCAAGGAGAGAGATATCAGAAGAAAACAACTTGCTGACATTTTAATCTTGCACTTCCAGCCTCTAGACCTGTGAGAAAATAAATTTTGTTTAAACCACCCAGTCTATGGTACTTGATTATGGCAGTGCTAGCAAACCAACACAGCCCACCACCACCAAACTAACCATCTCCTAGACCACAGCCAGAATGCTTTTACTTTTCCATGGCCTATTCATTACTTCTTTAACTGAACTGGTGTTCTCTTTTTAAACCAGCTTTCTCAAAACTACATGGGTAAGGGAAATCATAACCCAGACTTTTGAGGCAATAAGCTGTTAAAATAAGATTCCATGATAATTTACCTGCCTTGAAATTTGGACTTAGACTTTGAACCACGACACAACAAAGAACGAGCTTTACTGAAGGTAAATTTTGATAAATGACGAGAAAAGAAGCAGGAATCTGACATGTTTACAATGGTGAGTTCTGGGAGTTTATCTGAGAAAGCAGACCAAAAGAAAATATGTTAATATGTTGCCTAGAGAAAGGGAGCCAAACAGAAATAGATGAAAGACCTTGTGAGGAAGGGGACAGAGGGTAGCTAATTCACCTTCATCTGGCTGGAGAGTTTTGCAGGGTGAGCTCAAGATTCGAGGATGGCCCCTCTCAATCCGGCGGACAGTTGCCCAGCATTGTGGATGCTGGCAAAGAGCCAAGTCACAGGTGGTTTCATCCCACTGGCTGTCATCTGGCAAGTCCATAGCTACAAATGGTCTAGGACAAAGGCCAACCCTGAAGCTTTCTAGCCCTCTGGAGAATTAACAGTCACATAATTAGGGAGTATTATACATTAGCCATGTAATCCAGCTCTTACTTTAGACTCAAAGCATAAAATATTTCTACTGAACTTATATAAACAAAGGTGGTCACAGATGATTTAAGGATTAAATAACAAGTAAAGATGAAAACATCTCAGCATTGGCTCAGTGCTTGTGTAGCACAGTGGTTACAGTGCCAGCAACATACATCCAAGCTGGCAGTTCGAACCCCACCCAGGCCAGCTAAATAATGACAAGTACAAAGAAAAAAAAATAGCCGGGCCTTGTGGCAGACACCTGTAGTCCCAGCTACTTGGGAGGCTGAGGCAAGAGAATCGCTTAAGCCCAAGAGTTGGAGGTTGCTGTGAGCTGTGACACCACAGCACTCTACCA